CCCAACTGTACGTGCACTTGGACAGCTGTAGCTGTCCCTGGTTGAGAAGGGGGGGATGGGACTAGATGATCTCAGGATGTGATTTTGTGAAATGCAGTGCTTCACCAGTGCATGTCAGGAACCAATGACTGTGTAATCCACTGTAAATGGCCAGAAGTCCCACTGCATAAGGCATTATGTAATAATTGAGTTCTGAGAATGACTCTAGACTAGTAAAAATAATCATGGTTGGCATAAACTAATGCTCCCCTAGGGCTTTGACAAACAACTGATCTTCAACACCTTTACCTCCCTTTACTGTATGGGATGTATATTTTAAAATGATTAAGCCAGTAACTTTATCACTGAACAATTAGGTATCCCCCAGAATTGCATTTCTGCTTCTTATACATGCAAAGTACTGCTTAAAACTGAATCTATTAAAAATATTGATGAATACTTATTGGTATAACAGTTTTTTTCTCCTTATTGGACAAGTTCTATTTGTCTTCTCTGCTTTCAGGCATGCAGAGGCTCTGAATTTGATGAAGGTATACAAACTGACTCTGGACCTGCAAATGACACTCTGGAAACAGATGCCAACCCGAGATACAAAATCCCAGTAGAAGCAGATTTCCTGTTTGCATATTCCACAGTGCCAGGTAAAGAAAAGAGGGTCAGGGTGGAGATAGAAGCCAATCATCCATACTGATTGGATTGTAGATGGACCTTCATTGATGACACATTGTACATTGATGGACAAAACACAAAGGCCCAGTGTACATTGGGCCAGTGTGTTGTGTCCACCCCTTTTACACTGGCTGCATAGGAAAGAGGAGACTACAGACAGCAAAGGCAATAGTGTTTTCTTGGAATCCTGTCCTTCCATGTCCCAGTTTAGTAAGTGTGTTGAATATGTGATGAAGGCAGGATGAGGAACTGTTACAGCACAAAACTTATTCTTGGAGAGGAAATCCGTGAAATTTTACTTCTCACAGTTTCCCAAATACCAAAATGTAAAATGGTGCTTTAGTAGTGTGAGGTTTGGAGAGTTAATACACATTATTCTCAACTCTAATGAAGTAGGGTATGTGACACAAGTGATAAGAGTTAAGCTTTCTTTGTATGGATTTTTAATCTTTGCCCAGAATCTTTCACACAAAAGAGCAAAAATAATCCCCTGTACTTTCTTACTTGTCTTTCCTGTAAGGTTATTACTCCTGGAGAAATCCTGGAAGAGGCTCCTGGTTTGTGCAGTCTTTGTGCTCTGTGCTAAATGAGCATGGAAAACAACTTGAGATCATGCAGATCCTCACACGGGTCAACTATGTGGTTGCCACCAATTTTGAATCCCAGTCGGATGATCCACGCTTCAGTGAGAAGAAGCAGATTCCCTGCGTGGTCTCTATGCTCACGAAGGAACTTTACTTCTGAAAGTGTATTTTAATGCAGCCAGCAATGAAAGATCAGGATATGGTGTTGGGTGGAGATTTGACTATAAACAGGAGTCAATACATTTTTAATAACAGAAATGTAATAACACTAGATTTTTATATCATATAAGCTCGAGTATCTGATGGATGGACAATATGCAATATTTTAAAGAAGTAAATGCTGGGGGACAGCCTGACAGCTGTTAGGAAGAAGAATATGGTTGACTGCACATTACACAACTCAAAATTATGGTATCTTGATTTCCGTTACTGTGGCTGTCACGATATTTGGCTGCTGAACAAGTTCTGAGAATCACCTTCCTGACCCATAAAGGTTTTTCCCTGAAAGCAGATTGTAAGTTAAGAATAAAACAAAAGTTCGTGAGACTCCTTCTCTTTTACTACTAGCTCATGGAACCATAATCTCCTCAGAAATTTCCAAAGACCATCATATTATTGGGTATGTCCAGTGACAAACAGTTTGTAGCTATTTAAAAGGGTGTTTCTTAGTCTAATTTCCTTTTAATGAACATTAGTAATGAAGGCTAATGGTTGCTCTGTGCTTAATCTGGAAGTCAATTTACTTGGTTGTCACTCTAACATAAGATGAATATAGTAAAAAATCAATATTTATAGGTGATTTACCTGAACAATATGGAAATGTAACAAATAGAAAAATGAAATTCAAAACCCTTGTAAAAGATTGGCAAACTTTAATTGGATGATGCCTTATCAAAGTGCCATTATAAAGATTTTTACTTTGCAAATGACAATTGACTGATAGAACAGTCTGAAACAGTGGTATTGCAGTTTTTCTGCTTGCAGAAAGGAGAATGTCTGCTTGTTGATTCAGAATTTTTGAACCCTCAGAAGGTTAATGGCAAGGCTTTGTTGTAAAACATTAAAATTTAATGTTGAAATGATAGAATTATATGTTCCATTAACAAATGTATGTTTAGATTTAACTTCTATTTGTGAGGAGTTTTGCCAAAACTGTAAATGCTTACTTGAATCAGAAACCAGAAGTGCCTTCTTAGTTACTGTATGGTCTTGATTTTGTGTTTCAGAGTTACGTTGGTGATGTTTATATTCCTACTTTTTATATACTCTTTATAGTTGGTAGGTAGCTCACAAAAGTGAATTTAATTATTTGGTTAAACTGATAAATGATGAGTTGTTCACTCTTTTCCCAGTTAATGTACTCTATACTCTTTTGCAATCCTCTAAGAAAATAAGTACATACTATTAAGGCCAAGTTACAAAATTGTTAAGTTTATTTTCTTACAAATACTGTGACATAGTGAGACATATATTTTTTTCATAAGTCAAATTTACAGTTGTTTAAATTAAATAAATGGTTGTTTTATGAACATATTGAGCATGAGATCAATAAAGGCCTTTTTTAAAAAAAATTCCTGTGAATATCTGCATGTTTGTCACTCAGTCTGGTGAAGTGAAACCAACCAAAGTACATCCCAGTACCTTTGTCATTCAAGAATGCAGATGGTCTCTGGCATCTTTTCAAGAGGAGGTTTAGTGTCAGTTGAAAGGTAGAAACGTAACTTGGCATTGGGTGACTTAGCTCAGGCAGGCCAAATCCTCTCTTAGGGTAAACCAAAGTTACTGAAAACATTTTAATAGAAATACCCTGCTCTACCAGTGATCTGCCATCTTGCCCTTTATACAGTAAATTGTACAGTGGTGTAGCAGTGGATATGAAAATATTCTTCCCATTACTTCTGGCAAATAGCTCCATCTTCAACTATTTTCTGGCATTAGCAATATTCATGGTTTACTATGGGAAATGAGTCCAGTCAACATTTCAGTATTGATTACTTCTCTGGAAGCTCTTTCATGACTTTATAGTTCGTTAGTGTTTATTTGGTTGAAGTTTAGCCTGGTTTTAAACTTCTGTTAACAATATTCCCGTTTCTAAAGCCATCCTTTTATTCAGATACATTGTAGCTCTTAAGCCAGAGAGCCTTGGGAACAGTAAAGGAGCAAGTAGGGTCTCTGAAACAGGGCAGTTTAATTTTTTTAATAATGTAAAGGACTGTAACAGCATAACAGGTAAGGAACACATTTCCTCTTGTGTGGTGCTTTTCTTCTTAAAGGTTCTTTGAGAATGGTATTTTATTTTTAAAAAGCTTTAACAAATTTTTCTTAGCTTGGAAGCATTGGGGAAATATAAAAATTACTAAAAATAGTCCCTGCTCAAACCTACAAGGGGCTGCTGGGGAAGAATCAGAGTTAACAATACTGAGTTTCATCTATGAGTAAGAAAACTATTTTCCTTACTGGACTTGCCTAAAAGAAAAAAAAAAAGGTGGGCAGCAGGAGCCTGTGTCAGATTTTGTTATACATCTACCATGATGGACTCTAAATGAGAGCAGCTTGGGACTTTCCAACAAATAGGAGAAAAAGTAACTGTCTGTCTAAGAAAACAGTCAAAGTAGGAATGTTATTTGAAGCTCTTCAGTGCTGTAACGTGGCAAGCCAACAAGGCACTCTCAGTGTTTGCAAGAGCTCTCCTGGCAGACCAAAGGTTTCCTGGAAAAAGCTGATGGTGTGGCACAAAGGATCACAACAATTCTACCTGTTGGCTGACAACAAAAGGAAGAAATGGAGGTTGTATCTTAACCTTCGGGCTAGTTCTAGGATGTGGGATATACAAACATCAGCATAAAATACACAAAGACGCTGCCAGAGAGGAAAGATAACTTAGAGTAATAGTGAAAGAAAAAAACATTCTCTTGTGTCGAGACCAATGTCTCTGCTAGATGGAACATTACTTTAGATCAAAAAAACATTAATATTATTTAAAAAGAAAATTTTCTACTGACAGACATCAGTCTGTGCCAGCCGAAGAGCCTGAAGGAACCCATTCAGAATGGCTCTTTCACTCGAGCAAGGCCAGGTAGTTGAATACTAACTTAAAAGCTGTAGGGCATTTAAGCTTTTTTTCCTGATCAAATTTAGAACTATTTTCTATCTAAAAGCAATTCCCTTGACATCTGCAGGATTAGCCAAATGGTTTACTGTGTAAAACCACTATCATTAACGATATGCTGTTTCAGGAGAGAATCCCCAAAAATTTGTTTATTATAATCAAAACTTACACTGGCACTACAATGAAGTAGATTGTCATGATACAGGCAGCACAGGAAATCCTGCTTCACTGCTGTATGTTTTAGAAAATGCAATTCTTTAAATCTGAAGTTGGCTACATTTTATGGTGCTTGTATGATCTTTCAGAGTTCTTAATGTTATTTTATCTTCCAGTCATGGGTGGATATTATGCTTTAGACACAGCTCAGGGGAAATGAAGAGGACTGTTCAGAAAGCTGAACCAACAGAAACAAGATGTCTCCAGGGTTTTTTCTGTATGGGAGACATTTATCACTGCCTCAAATGTTCGTATTTTTCATTGCTTGTAAGTGAATATTAATCTGGATTTCCCCTCTCCAGAACAGTCTTTAATTTGCTTCCCATGCAGAGACAGGCATTTCCTTGTGGGTCATATTTCAGGATGTTTGTATTTCTACATGGACTATAAGAAGGCAGTCACAATGCAGGGCAAGGACATACTGTGTTTTGCTGCAGGAGGCGATACAGGGAATATGGATATACTTAAAGGTGTATTTCTCTAAAACCTTCTTCACCATGAAGTCATTTTGCCTGTAAGTATTAACACAGGTTGTTTACCTGATCTTGGTATTATATTTTTGAAGCTGTATAATAGCTTACATCTTAAAAATTTAAAGCATTTTATTTGCATTTTGACTGAAGTGTCTCATTGCATTTCAAAAGGTTTGAAGCAATCAAATCTCTTAACACCAGACATACAAAAATCTGAGAGGGTATAATAATGGAATTGGCATTATCTATTTTGAATTAGACATAACTTATTTAAAATGTTGTTTTCTGTTGAAAAGACAGTTAAATGTAGCAGTTAAAAACTTTTTCCCAAAAAATGCAGAGTGAAATAGCACAACTGTAACCTCATGGGTGTTTGTCTTCTCACCTGCAAATCTTGACTTTTACTGACATCCAGAGGAGACTTTTATCCTGTCATAGGTTTTTGGAACATTGTTTTGTAACGATTGCATAGTTTGCCAGTCAAGGTGACTCTGTCAGTCACACTGAACAGAATAATGCATTGCCTTTCATTGCAACCCTGGGCGTGTGCCTCTACTATTGGCACTAGCAAATTTACTTTGTGTGTAGTCATTTTTAGTTTTGGAAACTGCTTTTTAGTCCTTTTTTTTTTTTTTTAAGCATTAGTTGAAAAACCTAGAAGTAAATTTTTATAACAGTCGATCACGGCATTTGTACAATAAATCTTTCTCCCAAAAAGACAAAAATTGCTAAGGTTTCCCTAAAAAAACCTCCAAAAGTACAGGGAGAAATGTTCTGCAGAGACCTCCAGTGGGCCTAAGTTTTCAGAGGGTCATTCTCATTTACAGCCAGGAACAGGAGGTGTGGAAGTCTATAGCTTTAGTTATGTGTCAGAGGTAAAATTTTGTGTGTAACCCACCCCATTTCTGAGCACCGATCCTGACAGTACCATGTTTACTTTTGGCACCAGGGGGTAAATCACTGAAGAAACAGAAGCAAAGGAAAGCCCTTAAATCTCTCAGTCCAGCCAGGGAGCTCAGCAAGAACTAGAGAACACTTGCAATCCATCCCATTTTCCCAGGAGAAGCTCTGCAGCTTCAATGGCACACCTGGGTCTGTGTAACCTCCTTGTAGCTATAGACAACTTCCAGCCAAGATTTGATTTTGCAAAGAATTTTAGGGTAAGAAAAAGAGAAACTTTTGAAAAGACATTGTATTAAGAATATTACAGACTTGCAAGGTATTACAATTTCCATATTATTATTATTGTATTTTCTGCATAGACTTTAAACTCTCTAGGCCAAGCTATGCCAGTTTTACATGGGACTCTTCACACTGGCAAAGCAGTGTCAGAACCATATGTGGATGCAGTATTCCTAGGTTACAGGTGTTGTGTCTAGTGCAAAAGAAAGGGCAAAATGAAGTTCAGATGCCAGCTCTCACCATTTCTCGGCAAATGATACCTTTGACTTATATAACTGTATAATATTTATTATTTTTTATTTTATTATTACATTATAATAAATATAGCATAGCATATAACATATAATTTAATCTATAACAAAATATTATGTGTAATGACTATTATAATTATATATATAGTTTATTAGATATTTTCCTATGGTTATTTTATATAGTTAAATCATCAATATGAAAATTAACACTTGTAAGGTATTTGCTATTTTCTCAGCAGCAACCGTGTGTGCAGTGAAATGCTGCTCAGCAGCAAGCAAAGTGAAAGGAATTAGCTTCAATATTTTTGTTCTCTTTAATATCTTGGTGAAGAAATCATTGGGATGGCTTCTACAAATAAAAGAAATTCTGCAGGTACCAATTTTTATTTATTTTTTTTTTACTAAGATTTGTCAGTAGTAAGGCTGAATTTGGTTTCAATCCGTTCTTGTCAATGTATGATACCATTCTCTTTGCCGTCCAGCTGTCAAGGATTTTGTGGCAAACAGTAGATGAAAAACAGGGGGAAATAGCATACTAGGAAATTTTGAGATCTCATCTGGACGTATACTTTGCGATCATTCTGCCCCTCTACTTCCTTCCTTAAAGGAACTGTCTTACATGCAGTATTTCCCTTCATAGCAGGATTTTTCTTGTCCCTGAAAAAGACATTGAACTGATATTTGTTAAAAATTTTAAAATCCTTAAAAATTAACTAAGAACTGGAAGGTAGAGTCAGTATCTCCAGGACACTGGTGATGAAGCCTTGCCTCCATTTAAGACCACAAAGGTTTTCATGTTAAACTTCCCAGAAGTTATGCATATTGCCTGCTGTTCTTTACTAGAAGATCCAAACTGAGGTTACCTGTGTTCCTTTCAGTCACTGGTTTCTTAAAAAATCTTAATATACCACACATGGTTTGCATGCTTTTTACATGCTTAAAAAATTGAATAAGATTGCCACTCCTTTTGTTGTGTTAAAGTGAATTTGGATCAGAAATCCACCAGTGATTAAAAAATGTGAATCTTAAACCATAGCTGGTCACAAAGTATGAAGGATCATGAACAAATACATTTAAGTATTTTCCCCACAAGTTTTTTGCTCAAACTTTACTTGTATAACTTTTTCCTGTTGTGACATCACAATTCACAATGCAAGATAATCTATCCTTAGCTGATTGAATACCATCTATGAATTGCATTAGGGGTGCCTTTACTGTCTTTCAGATCACTAATTATAAAGTTAAATAAGACCAGACTCCAAATTTAAATAAAACCATTTAAAGAAGACAGAGGCTCATGATATCTTCTGAGCCTTCTACATTTTCACTATCATTTGCTTACAGTTTGGGCTGGTTGTCAGCCATAAAATTAATATCAGGGAAACAGGGCCTGGCCCTGCGTTTTATAGCCGTGATTTGTGTTCCTCTTCTCTAATTGTAATATGGTTTATGGCCATCTGAGCACAGAAACCCAGCCTTCAGCAACAATTTCCAGTTCAAGCAGGTCTTTGTAAGAGATTAATTGGCAACAAATTAAGTAATGGTGCTGTTCATTTCTTTTTGATTAGGGAGAATTCAAAATACACTTTGCCCTGAAGGTGGAGTCTGCAAGCACGGATTCCTCATCAAATCACCACCTCTTCAACTTTTCAGCTCACAGGTATACCAACACAGATTAATCATATTTCAGCAATCCTTCAACAAGCAGCCGTTATATCTGCTATCCTGAATTTTAACGACAAACAAATTGCTTTCTCTTTGGCAGAATTCCTGGAAAAGGCGTCTTTTCATCCTGTCCAAATCCAGCAAGGGGAATTACATCCTGAAGTATCTAAAAGGCCAACATGTAAAAGGCTCCATAGCTGTTGATCAGTATGTAACTCAAATGCATCACCTTTTTTATTTTAAGTCATGTATCAACACTATTCAATGGCCACTGGTTGTACAGACACTTTTTCTTGACTTAGGTTCTTGATTCAAATCTCACGGAAGTCAGGAAAAGAGTCCTGCAGGCTTTTGTAGGCTTTGGGTGCAGCTTACAGTAGGTAGAAGTAAAAATCCTCAATTGCTTTATTAAAATTTAATACATTTATGTGAGTGATCATGGTGATGTCGTATCTGCAAACTAGACATCTTGGCTCCATGACCCTAAAGGCTGTATTCCTGTAGTGGAAGATATTTTATCTCCTGTGAGGACAGTGCTATGCATTCATTCACATGTGAATAAGGACTGGCTATGCCCCTCTTACCTGTGTCACACAACCTTTCCCTACTTACAGCTTCACAAAGGTGCTTTGCAGGCTGTGCAGAGGTCTCCTGACTTTCATGTGGCCCTTTGGGCTGGTGCTGGTGCCCCACTGCCTCTTAATCCATCAAGAAATTGCTCTGCTTGGCTCGTTTGGGTTGGTCATTTCATTCCTCTCAGCATAGTGCCCGCTGCAGCAAGACTGGGTGTCACTGGCTTTGTACCAGCACCCTTTACCATGTCACAGGTGGTGTGAGGTACTTGGAAGTGAATCAGAAAATGCAAAGATTTTACCTGTCAGACCTGGAGCTTAATACTCTAGGCTCCTGGAATTGTTCAGCATGGAGGTCCCTGAACAACATTGCTGTTGTGCTTCTTCCATTAAATGGATTTACTTTGTGAAGCTTTCAAAAATATTGCAGCTTGCTCAGTGGTATGTGGTTACATTATTACCATCATTATTGTTGTTATTGTTTTTATTAACTTCTTGGAAGTTAATGGAAGTAATGCTTCAAGTATCCATTAAGAGTACTTCTGTTCCTTTTCCCCTCCATTAAAACACTATTAATATACAATTAATTTCAAATCAAATTTATTGTTTTATAGTGGTTAAAAAACTTCTTCAAGAAATTTTTCTTACTATCATTTATTTTCAAGGTTCTGTGTTAGACTAACAGCCTGCTTTTCCAGAAATGAGGATCCAAAATCCAAATCTTTGCAAAAGTTGATTTAATTCTTTTTTGCTTGGAAGTTTTCTTCACTGAAAAGCCATCCATTTTGAATATTTGTGCTTATTTTCTTGAGCTTTTTTTCTGTGGAAAAATGTTTATCTTTTCCCATGCAGATCTCATCATACTATGCTGTGCTCAGAGTAAAATATGCACATACACACATATAAGTGTCTGTGTGTGTATTTGTTCATATGTGTGTATAGCTATATAGGATGTTTCATATGCTTATCTTAACAGAATCATAAGTATTGAAGTTGGCATAAGAAATTTTGAAATTATGGAAACAGTGAGGAAGATGTTTAAATGCCTTCCTGAGCAGGTGATGTCCATCAGTACTGGAAACAGATGTTACTACCTCATTGGGGACAGCAGGTAGGCATAGATGTGCAAATGCAGTATGACATTACAGTTAAGCCAATGGAACACTAAGCTACTGCCCCAAGGCAAGGTCCTGCTCCTTCACAGTCGCTCCCTTCCCTTCATGTGTCTCAGCTACACGGGATGAAATGATTCAGCTGTTTGATCCAACAGAAAACAGCTCTTTTCTATGTAATTTCCCCCCTCCCCCTGTGGCTGACTTAATTTTTTGCTGGTTCAGACAGGTGAGCTAAACCTTCCCTGCAGCCACACTGTTACATTCAACACCTGAAAGTAGTGGGAACAGAGGGTTGGGAGTGGGGATAGCAGTGGTGGTACATCAGTGTGGCAGCACCATTTCAAACTGTACCAGTTAAAGATCAAGAAAGAGCACAGAGACCTTTGTCTTCTCACCCAGCATATCCTGGGACTTAGGAAAGCTTCTGCTCCTTATGGATAAATCGCAGGAAATAATATTGCCTGAAGAGTAGGCTATTAATCAAGGGAAACAGATTGAAGGCAAAAGTTCTCCCAAGGGAAAACACCTCCCAGAAGTACTGACTAGGGCCTTTGCTGCAGCAGGGTGGCATGGTCTCTGCTTTCCCAGGCTGCAGTTCAGTCCTCAGCAGGGGCAGAAACTGCTTCTGTCAAGGTGATGAGCCAAAGCTCAGTTAGGCGAGGGAGGATGTTTGTCACACTGCTCCTATGCTGCTGGTTCTCAGCTTCTCCTCTTCAGGTTCCCAGTCACGAGTGTATCAGGGGGTTTTTTTGCCTTTATGCAGAAGAGCAGCTGATGTGTGAAATTCTGATAAGCACAGAAGAAAAACACATACCTGAGTGTTACTTGAGCGTGCCACCCAACACCTTCCCCCGAGGCTCTGCTCTCACACCCCTTGCTCAGTGGGAAGCATTCCAGAATTAATCCAACTAAATACACTGCAAGCATGAAACAGGGCTTCAAGGGTCCTTCCATGGCATGTTTCTCATCCTCCTCATCCAAACGCATTCCCAAGCCTTGTTAACTCTCTTTGTGGCAGGACTCAGCAGAGCAGCCTCACACACAGTAAAGAAAGCAGCAAGCACCATCCCACATCTCCATGTCTCTTGCACACAGACACACAGCCCCCCTGCAAAACTTTTAGTTCCTACCCTTGGGCTGAACCTCTCTGAGGTCAAACTTTGCCATCTGGGTATGACTACCCGAGCAGTCTCTTAAAAAAAAGGTGCAGTTATTTTTAGCCCCTTAGGAAGAAGTGTGTAGACAAATGGATTTTCCTTGTGTGTTACCTGTCAATAAGTTTTCATTTCTTATGTTCCAACCTACAGGCAGGAAACAGAGGACTGGGTGACTCTGATATCTTCAGTCTGCAGGGAGGACAAACAAGGTGGATGCTGCCCTCAGGTGACATTTTACTGTACTTGATTTTAGGGGAAAAAAGGATGTTTCTATTTCCATTAGAAAACTGCAAAGGAATTTACCTGATTTTTGCCCTGAAACTTGGCTCTGGCCTTGATAATTCATAAATTTCATTCATTCATTTTCCATATAAATCCTGTACCCTGGCCTTGTGCATTAAGCAGGTATTGCACAGTCTGTCTGTGCTGGTATTGATTTTAATATGGAAATTAGGAGATGATTGATATTACGCTTCAATGAACTGCATCTTTAATGCATTAGAATGAAAACTTGTGTGTTATCCTCACCCTGTGTATTTTTGTTATATTTACATGTTGTTTTACAAACCAAACCACATCTAGTCTGCCAATGTTATGAACCAGCTGGAAGCCTTGTTAGCTCAGTCTCAGGCCCAAGTTTCTGCACCTTTTCAGCCAGCCAGGCCTACCAGTTCAGACTTGGCACAAAGTTACTAACATCCCTGCAGCTTCCAGTCAGCTCAAAGTACCTGCAGGGCAAATTTATGTCTCCCTTAAAAATGCAATGTGGACAATCTCTCTAAGCCCTTAGAAGTAAAATGTGTACTAGTAGGATGTGTTGGTATGTTGTAGACCACACCAGGTGCCTGTTTTCTTAGACTGCTGTTACCTTATTTCTAGAACCAAGATCTTCCAAATCCGGGAGTCAGAAGCCGGCCCTCCTCTTTGCCACTATTCTTAAATTCCATAGATATGACCAGTTTCACAGAAAGGCAAAGCTGCCAGAAGGTAAACAGATTAGCCATCCTTAATAATAAGTCTGTGCCTAGGGATGACTGTGAAATTTCATTTTTATGGTTGCTTTTTTACATTGAAAGTTCTTCAGATCTTCTGCAATGCATACCTGGGTGGTCTGTTCTGCTCTCTGGTGGGGGTTCCTGAGTAAGACCTGGGTGATAACATCAGAGGGTCCCCACAAAGGAAATTCTTTTGAGTAATATCTGCATGTAAGTAAAGGCAATGAGAAATTATATTCATTGGTTGTCTAAACTGACTGGCAAAGATTACTGGGCGTGAAGTAAGCCACTGAAGATTGACACACCTTGTCATGGCAAAGGCATGTGATGATTGTCTTGGCAGCTTCTAGCCACATTCCTTCTGTTTTGTAATTGTGCTTTTCTTTGTCTCTCTCATTCCAGGCTTAGAGGGGAGTTCAGGTCCAGTTCCTCTGTGCCTTACAGATTTTCCCCTCAGTATTAAAATAGAAAGGAAGGAAAGTGCTGCTGCTGTTCTCAAGCAATTGCAGTCCCCATCCCCTGGTAACAGGGTGATGTAGCAGCCAAGGAATTGTTGGGTTTCTGTAGTCACAAAGCTGTGTGTAAATGGACCAGCTAGAGGAAGATGAATGCGGGTGAAGCACCTCCACTGTGTCTTTATGAGGAATCAACTTTTTTCTTTGGTACTCAGGAGAACGGTTGCTCAGAAGACAAGAACAGGCCTTATTCAGATCCTGGCCCTCATCAGGCTCAGTGTGACTCACCAAGAGGAGTGTTTCCCAGCCTGGTGAGCAGAAAAAAATCAAACAGCTCTTGTCTTGTTCAGTCTGCAGAAGTGATTATTGGCTTTTATATCACCTGGGTATCTGTGACTATAGATTATCCACCTGCTTTCCCAGCACATCGAGTTGGTTTTCATTATGAAATTGCCTAGATATTTAGTTTGTTTTCTTGTTTAGCACTGAAAATAATCTTCTAAGAACTTGCTTGAAATACCCTGTTTGTTTTTGGAGGCAGATCCTCAGAGTTTCTGTGCAGCAACTGCAACTTACGGCAGCTCTTACAAACTTGATGAAGAAAACTCAGAAGTTGCACTGACTGAGGATTTGACTACCACCACATTTCTCAGCTGCACCACAGTTGTTCCTAAATGGTTTATTTCTTCAGCCTTTGCCAGTAGCAATTGAGTCAATGTAACTGAACTACAAAACAAGGGCTTGCTAAATTGAGGCACACCTCAGAACTGACCTTCATCAGCATAAATATGACTTCAAATAATTTCACTTCCATATTTGGCAGGAATGTTTGGAAAGATAAAATATGAATGTTATCATGTATTATTGGCTAAATGTTCTGACCTGTGTTCCCTGAACAAGCGCCTGCAGCAGTTTTCCTCTGCTGTGGATTACTGCCTTTGCAGCAGAGCCAAGAGGACAGAAGGCACAACCAAGACTTATCACACCAGTTTGCAGTTTAAACCCATCTTTTATTGACAGTTTATGCACTAGACTATGATCTGGAGTAGCTAAGATACAGGGCAAAGACTCTGTTCTGCTATCACAGCTAACAGGGTGGTAAATCATGCTGAAATCACCACCCTTGTATATAAGCTGACAGCAATATGTATGAGATAATACAGCTAAATTTAGTGCAAAGAAGTGAAAATAACTGAAACTACATTGCTATGCCATGGCAGTCAGCATAGCTCAGCTGATGCACAGTACTTTATAAAGCTGCAGTAATTCAGTTGTGATTCTGAGCTCTGAAATGCATTGAGTTAACCCTTGGTCTGATTTTAACTAGTTCTTCTCCAGGTGCATACCAAGGGTCTCTTTGTGTCTCTTTCTTATGCATGCCTTTTCTGTCTTATTCATTAATTCTTCTCATACTTACGATGCCTGAGATGGCATATATTATTTGCAGCTGTTCTGACTAAGACAGATTGACCATGACGGTTCAAAAAAGGAATTTGGATTTTACCTTTCTGGCCTAAGCAGAGGGAATAGCAGGAAGCTCATATTTCTGTTTTGGCATGTGTGAAAATAAATAACCTTGTTGTACAGAGAACAAGAAACAAAAATGTTTGTTCATTCGATAAAAATATTCCACTTGCCTCATAAATTTAGCATCTGCTAACATCTCCAGACCTATTCTCTGCTCAGTGACATATAGACAACTGACTTCCTGATTAATCCCTTGTATTTACTTCCTTTTAGAAGTATGACTTCCCATTCCAAACATCTGATGTATTTTGCTGTTTATTGGTGGTTCCCTCATCCAGGCCCAGATCTCGAGAACACTTTGTTCAGTAGTCATTACTCATGCAAATGGGCCTCTCCATGTCAGTGAGTCTAGTCCTCCTGGCAGGGACCCTGGAGAGGTCTGGGGACCTGGCTCCTTTTCAACCCACACTTTGAAGCTACCAAACCACATCTGACTCAGCAATTCAGCTTCAGCTGTTTTGATACACACCTTTCAATATCTAAAATACATCAAAATAAAGAGCCCTGACTTACACCACCCTGTACCTAGGCACCCTTGTTGGGATCTGTTACACATATCTGATTTTCTGAAAGAGAGGTTCCTCTGTCTAAGGGCAATACATAACTTTCCTTAAGGAGCTTATAGGTAACAATTACTCAGTTGTTCTCCAGGTATCATTTCCATCCTGTGCTACAGCCAATTTTCTCTACAGTGTACTTTCTCTCTAATGTAAATCCATATTATGGTTCAACAGACACTTAAAGGACTTGTCTAGCTGTTCAGTTGAGAAAAACTGTACACTGAGGCTGACTGCACTGCCCTGCTGGTAAGAGACCTGGAGGAACGGAGATGTTGATGAACTGCTTTAGGGAAGCACAGGACTGCTGCAGTGTATCCTTCTTCTTCCCATTATCCCTATAATCTGTGATGGTGCCAAGGAGAAATACTATGCAGTTGGCAAAAGATAGCCACTGTCAGTGACTGAAAGCTCAGTTTGGAAAGCTGATGAGTGCTGTCTGCTCTTTGAGATTTCTTAGGAATTGGAGAATCTCAAGACTTAATAAAATAATTTTCTCCTTCTCCCCAAATGTTTACTTGCTTGATTGATCCAAAGCCCCTAAAAAGACACTAGGAAACTCATTCATGACTTCAGATCCTGACCACAGAGCCAGTCTTGTTTCTGCTGTGGTTTTGTTCTGCACTTCTTGAAGGACCATTTGGAGGTTTGTTCTGACTCCTGCTGCGTGAGTTGCTTTTAATGTCATTCATACCAACACGGAAAAAAATACATTAATCATCCTTAATTTATATTCAATGCCAGTTTCTTCTCTTTATATGTAAGAAAGTAATTAGTTTAATTTACTTTTCCTTGAAAATAGTAATATATTCATGGCATATTTAGCAATTATTAAAACGATCACCATGGAAACCACAGATGTAAGTGTAGAGATAAAAAACAGTTGCATCACAAACATGGCATAGAGAATTGCATTGGGAGGCAGCTAAATACTAATTACCATACTCTTCACTATAGTGAAGTCAACAAGGAGACATAAAAATAAATAATTTATCTTTGTGACTTAGAAAGGCAAACTTGATGAAGGGACTAACTTCTCCTTGACTTACCAAATTGCCTCAAACTTAATGTTTCTGGTATTTATGAAGACAGAATATCACTCAGGATACAAAGGGTTCAGTGTCAGATCTCCAGTCTTTTGGGCATCTTCTTGTTCATAGAGCAGTATGAGATAATAGATTTCTCATTAGTCAGGGAAATCCCAAATTTATTCTTTACTTGATAGCAGTTAAAAGCTGCTTACAAAGGACAAATATACCCCAATCAACTCCTAGATTTCCTACAGATTTTTTTCCTAGTGTAAGGACTGAATTGCAAATAAAAAATCTTTTCCATACAAGTGACCCTAAATTCATCCAGATTCATACATGAAGTGTTTAACCCACTTCATTTTTAAACAAAATAACAGGCTGTGATCATGCAATCAGTTGCAACTGCCTGGTTACCACAAATCCATCTCTGAGAAGTTTTGTCTGTGTGCATTGAATTTCAAAAATACAGGAAGGAGCACAAATATAGAAACCTTGTTTCTAAAACAGGTTTTCTCTGAGCATATCTTACTTCAAGAAGAAACATGTCTTCCCATGTTTTCTGTGAATATGTGCTGATTCTATTACTTCTCCATGTAAATGGAAAAATACATGTTAATCTGTATAACTGATCCCTTTAAATACAAAACCATTCTTTTAGCAGGATAAAATTCTGGGAAGAAGTGAGGAAAATCTGCTGCCATCAGATACAGATGAAAACATCCAAAAGGATGAAGAAGATTATTACCAAACTCCCAGCAATATTTTAGCACAGGTAGTTTATCAGTTGTGAGTTCTGCTGGTTTGTTAACAGCTCCAAGGACACAGGAGACATTTAATGAGCCAAAGAGGAACTGGTATGAGGAAGCCCTTGTACCTTGCAAAAGGAATACATAGATAAAGCAGTAGGTAATAGAGCTTTCATTTATACAAGAAAAAATAGACTAGACTCATTCAAAGGATCTTTCTGGTAGAAAGTGGCATTTTGACAAAAAGATTGCTGATTTTGTTGAAAGTCCCCAATTTGACTGTTTCATTGTAAATGGCTTTTGACTATTGTATAACAGGGTGGGGTTTTTTTTTTTCCGAAAGTGAAAACTTCATTTAGAGAATATAACAGTGCGTTAGTTTTATATATTTTAAAATATAATTCTGTTGAAGCATCAGTAAGCTTCATAAAATGAAGCAGTACATTTAAAACGCTGTGGTACGTTTTAGTATCTACATTTCACTGTGAAACAAGGGAGCAGAAGAAATCATTCTGTTAATTTTAAACAAATTTTGACAGCTAATTTGGGAGGCTAGTTCCTCTAAGTTTCCCATGTACTTAGTGGTCAAGAGACGCTAAGTGGTCAGTTTTCTGCAGAAGTCCCGGAGTCTCTCCCAAGACTGTACATCTGACTGAATAACATTACTAATATGATTTTGTTATGTAATCTAAGTGCTCTAAGTTAAGCACACACAAAGTACAAGTCTCTTTTTTCAGTCTGCTTACATTAAAATGTAACTTTTTTTGGGGGGGGGGTAGTACTTTAGAATAAAGCTAGTTACATCCTAGTCTGACAGTGTTAATAATACCACCATTAACTTGTAACTTTCAAATACCTTTAACTTATGTGGGGAAAGCCAACCTATATTAGCCAATGTGTTTAAACAGCACAAGCACTAAACAAACTAAGGAAATTAAGATTTTTTTTTTTTTCTGTAGGCAGAGCAATAATATTAACATCTCATGTTGTTCTGTGTTTCTGACAGTGCGCTGCTGAAGTATCAAAGCCTGACCTTATAGCTGGAACTGATGTCCCTGTGCAAGAGAAACCAGTGCAAAACAACCCAGTAAAGGAGAACATTTATATGTCTATGAAATCACTGTAAGTAACAACTTCATTAAGGTTTGCAAATTAAGTGACATTTTAGGACAGATAGAGCTGACATCTGTGGTATTAAGATAACAAGGTCTAGATGCTGCATCTTGTTTGAATGAGTCCTTGTTTGGTCTTGGTTCAGATAATTCAGAACTCAGAGGAGTACTGGAGTCAGATTCAAACTCATCAACAAGAAATTTAAGCTCACATTGCAAACTCATGCGTTTAGACAGGCTCTCACTATAGGATGCAGTACTTTTTGTTGATTCATACTTTTTCTAGGTTTTCATGACCCAACAGTCCACCACTTTACTGAGACACTGCAGCCAAGTTCCAACAACCTTTCGGACATGTACTCTCCAAGCAGGCAGCATTATCTAGTGGTTAAAAGAGAAAAGTAGAGATGGGGCATTAGCTCCTTACTTTTCCATTAAGAAGTTATGTGAGTTCAGTCATCTCCTTCCTCACATTTGCCCACTGAAAGAAGGGATTTGATGCTGTGTATTTTGAAGCTACAGTGTTCGGCACGTCACAAAAAAAGACCTAAACTTTGTGTCACAGTATTAGTGCCACAAGGAAACTTTACAAGCTCCACAATACAGCAATGAATACTAAAGAGAAGTGTGCCTACACAGTAAGGCCACACCTCCTGAGCCAGAGGACTGGTCAGTATCTCTTGGCTATGGCCTGCCATCTAAAGACAGTCAGATCTTATGCCATATCATGGGTGGAAACTGGAAATGCAGACCCACTAACTAGTTTATTTCAACAGATTTATTCAAGCTTGTCTGTGTCTTTGGGAGCCCCCAGAGGGCATTACTATAAAAGTATGTCATCCAAGTTAAAACATACCAAGAACAGCTTTTGGTACTATCCCCAGTCTTGTTTGGGGCATGGTGTGAAGTCAGCTCCAGGCATTATAAGGCTCATTGAAAAAAAGCTAAAATGAGTTCAAGCATGTCTGAGTTACTGTATCTCCCAGGGGACAGCTTTACATCCCTGCAGAACCCACTACGGCCAAGGCCGACAATCTATACTCAGTTTCTTTGTCAAGGCATGCTGTTAGCTGGGATGTTTTCAGGCTTAATAAATAGATTTTACATACTGGCAAGGTTTATTTTGAGATTTATGGTCTGTTTTTAGAAGGACTGTTTATTTTACTTAGCTTTAATTCTGTCCACTGGATATTCTACAAGAACTTGTTATTCTTTGCTTTACTGATGACTGTTTGATCCAGCTTCAAACACCACAAGAGTCCCTGGAATGGTCAAACCACTTAATTTTTTATCATCATTTCTCTTCAGTAGGTTGCTGGATGAGAGATGCCAACTCACGTGCAGACTTGATGGGCTCCCATCTCCTCCCAAATGCCAGGACAGCAGTGCATGTCCAAGAGACTTGGAAGCAAACAGAGACATAGAATTCCCAGAAAGCAGCACCACCCTGCAGCCAACCCTCCAGAAAAGGCAAAATTCATTACCACTTTCAGTGGTTCAGTTGTCTATACTGCTCAGGTAAGTGTCTTCTCCATTTTGTTGCAGAGAAGACAGACATGTCCATGGGTTTCAGCTGAGGTGCCAGTAGAGTGTGTGAAGCCTGTCAGCATTCAAGAGGCATCTGGATGATGCTTTTAGTCATATCATTTAATTTTATGTAGTCTGCAAGGAGTAGAGAGTTGAGCTCAATAATCCTTATGGGTCCCCCTTGAGATATTCTATAATTCTATGGTCTCTGGTGTTTTCTCTCACAGTCAAGTTACAGATGAGACCCAGCTGCAGAAGTTGGATATTTTTCTACCCCTGGCTGATATTAACAGTTACCTAAAATTTACTGAAGCAGCAGGACGAATATGGTAAGTCTGAATGTCTTGTGACAGTGCCTGTCAGATCTGAATAAGTGACAGTCAGGTACAGAAGTGTACAAGTATAGACATCCATGTACAGTTATGGCACTGCAGAACAGAGCAAGGTTAGTGCATGATGGTACTTGAGTGATTCCTTTCTGCTCTTTCTAACTCTTCATGTTCTTGAGTTTCTATTTCAACTGCTGTTGGAGAGGGCTCTATGGAATCAAGATCCCTTATCATACTGTGTAATACTTAGTGATAAAGTCCCACCACAAAAGCTATTCTTCTAATGTTGGTGTGAAATCACTTAATTACTGCTAGTTACTTTTACCTTTGAACCACAATGATGCTGTGTCTCACAGATAAAGTGAGGGGATATAGCTGAGGTAGGGTAAAGACAGCCTCAAGCTGACTCGAGTTGGATGTGAGCAGAGAATTATCTCTGAATTAATCGCAGCAGTGATTCGGTGCTAGGAAAGAGGGCTAGGCAGGGATGTTATGGGCTATAGCATATGCATCCTCTTAGTAATCTCACTGAAATTTAGTGTTCTCCCTAGACCTTCTATATCAGTGACTAGGATAAAGAGGATGGAGCAGAAAAAATGCTCAATGCATATTCCTGTCCTTCTTGTTCATCTTTCACTGACACACAGGACTGAGAATGCTTCTTTTGCTACTGCTCTCATATTCACACCAATCAAGTGCACTGCATAGCAAGTCACTTTGTTTCAGTCACTGTCAGCAAGAAGAAAAATTACTATTGCAAAAGGGTCTGAAAATAACCTCAATAACTGAATTTACATCTAAATCTACACAGCCTTCTCAGCAGAAATTCATGTTTAAAGAACTGTGAGCTTGTTCTGGAAGGGAATAGAACACCATGTCTGACTGTCAGGTCAACTAATCCTAAATAGCTTGTCATCAAGGATAGTCTGTCAGAGACCAGCAGGCAAAAGATCCTGGAATTTCCATAAGGGTCCCATCTGGACAGCAATGGATCCCTAATCCTGGCAGTTATAACATAGATAAAACAGATGATAATAGTTTTAATTTTATTCTCTTGGGATGACTTCAGAAATCATATCAGTCCAACATCAGGCTAAAACTTCTACAGCAAATCTGGGCCACTGCTTTTAGACTGGAATTCCCAACTTTGGTAAGCTTGCTAGCACCAGTCTCACTTGTTAACATGCTGCAGTGTCAGTGTCATGTGCTCTTTTAGGAGGATGCCCTTTGGATGGATGAAGCAGCTTAGTTTCAGCTAGAACCAGATCAAAAAGTTGCAAAGTCATTCCACCTGTACGTTATTTCCAGAGGGCAGTACCATAAATGCAATCCTGTTCAGCCATTGCCATCTGTGAGCAGTGACTGGATATCCTGAATGTTTCCTTTCTTGCTACCCTCCACATACCACAGCATTTCACACTGGACTGGTCCCCACAGACTGGGATGTTTGTTTAACCACGGAGATCATGTAGTGGCTGTGAATGATCTGCAACCCCAGGGTGTGGAAGAGGCTTACTTCTTCATCAGCAGGTCCACAAGAAAGGAGGTAAGCTTGACTAACCTGAAGGTAATAGTCAAAGGTATCATGGCAAATGAGAAAGCAATTTCCTTTTTGCATTTCAAGAGGCTCTATTCAAACCAGTTTACTCTGGTTTAAGTTTGGCATGAATAACTTCAGCACCAAACAGCTCCTTGTCATCATTCTGATGTGGCATCTCTTATCCCTGGGCTATATGGGGAATGCAAGTCAGCACAGTGGTGTTGGAGGACTTGATCTAGAAGAGCTTGAGCAACTCGAAGAGATTCTACTGGGCAACCATAAATTTGAGTTACCCGGTATTTTTTGGCCAAGGCCTAGGAATTGCAAACTTTGGGAAATAAACAATTGCCTCTAGTTGATGTATAGTTGCTTATAGTGGTTTTGGGTATTGAGGGCAGAGCCTTAGACTCCTACCTCCTATTGCTTATCAAGTGCTATGCATCCCCCTGTGTGATACCATGTTTTTTGAAGAAAGTGGGAGATTTCTAAGAGGTTCCTTAACTCCACTGTGATCTACTACATGTGTTTCTGACAGGTGGACTCCTATTTCAGTATAAAGGTTCATGACCCATACCTGAACACATTCATATTTGAATTTTGCTGAGAAGGTTGAGGTCATCAGAGGCTGTTTCCATCTAAAGAAAAAAAAAACCAGTCTCAGCAAGGAAAAAAGTACTCATCTCTCTTAGCAGGAAATTTCTATTTAACTAGTTAAAATACAAGTCAGATACACAGATGTACGAATGTTGATCAGATAAAACAAGCTACAAAAATGTCCCTTTCTTTTCTCTTTTTTAAGGTGAAACTTACTGTCTGTAGGATTCCACAGTCAGATCTCTTCCATGCTAAAGGCTGCTCATGTTCCTGAAAAAAAAAGACCTCAGTGATTAAGTAAGTACCAAAGCTCAGGCAAAAGATCTGGGAGAAGAATGTGTTACACAGTGTATGGAGATAATCTTTACCTTCTTGAGCTTCCAGGCATCTTTTGTTGCTGAAGTAAAAAGAATAGAGAATGTCGATTTCATTTTATGTCCTAATAACTTTTTTTTTGCATGAATGGCATGTATTTGGCTTCTATTTCATGTTGGCATGTGTTTCTGCATCTGTTTACATGAAAAAAAAGAGAGGGTCAAATAATTTATGTTACCTTTGCACTGTGTATACTTTGCATTTCAGCAGAAAGTACTGGTTCATGCCTGGCCTCATCTCTTTACACTGAGTTAGATTGACTTATATTGAACTCCTAGTCAGTTAGGGGTGTGGAAACACCAGACATCTGGGAGAAAGCCATGTTTTTCCTAGATTCCCTTTAGCCACAGAAAGGCACAAGGAAGCTGAGAGCTGTAGTTTTGGAGAGAAGGCTGGTGTTGTGTAGTGATTCAGTGGGGCCTCCTTTCGTGTTATGCCACTCTTATGTTACAATCACATGAATACATTCAAGGGATGACAGGAAACAGAGCTGGTTAGAGAAAAGGAATGTGTCTGGAGCACCTTTGGGTTCCAAATTGGCACCCAAAATAAGCCTTAAGTGAAAAATGAATTAATGGATTTGGGAGAGAGAAGGGCTGCCCTGCTCTTTGGAAGTGTTGCTGGTAAAGACAGCTGGGAAAACCAGAGAGAGAAGTCATGTATCCAAAGGCATGTGCTCTCAGCCCAATGGAAACGAGTTCACTGAAATTGTTTTGGTGCTGCCTAGTACTGCCACAGGGATGCCAGTGGCACCGCAGATTTCCAGAGCAAAGTACTCATTTGTTTCCCAAACAAAGATATTTCATGTAAATATTTTTTTTTTGTGGATATGTCCTCCTTCCATTGCTACCACAGGAACAAGAACAATTTTCGGGTAATATCACATCAAAAGAAACCTGATAAGCAGGGGTGTCTTTGGTGGATGCTAAAAGGGAGTTTTGTCCTGTCTTACAGTGACCTCTGTTGCTTACAGAGCCATGGTGTGACATGGCCTGTATGTATGACACATACCTGTGCTCTGTATGAACACGTACACATTGGCATATCCATGTTTGTGTGGGCTCTATTTACACACATTTATATTGCTGTAAAATAGGTCATGTTGATACACAATGGTGTGGCAACAAACAGAATCACTGGGTTTGAGTACAGATAATTTTATCTTGCCAGATACAACCAAAATAACTCCTGGGTTTAGCAGGCACGGGATTATTGATATTAAGAGATTTATATAAGCTTTGACTAAGGTGGATTTGGCTCAAAGGCAGTATTTGTCCAGCTTCCAATTGAATTAGGCCAAGTCAGCTACTACAGTAAGAAACTACACTCACTAAAAATCAGCATTGGTGCCACTTACTGCAGTAGTAAATTTGACAAATGTGCTTTGTCTATCCAGTCTGGACTTTTAAAAAATCATTAGAAAATTTTATTTAGAAGAAGATGAAAAGTGTCAAGTAACTCAAAACGAGCAAACACAAATATATATACAATCTGTTCAGACTCAGCTCCTGTTCAAAAGATTAATTTCCAGACTGAATGTTTTCACAGCCTGTGTCTTCTGCTTTTGAGATAAGAGTGTTCAGGACATGCTTGTTTCTCAAGGTGGGAAAGGATCATGTTTTGATATTTCTGTTTCAGTTCAAAGGCCTGTTTGTTCTGAATTCTGAATAAAGGCAGAGGGAAACCCCAGTTCTGGAGCTACAGAGGCTGAAAATGGAAGAAGAGACATGGAGGAAGAAGGAGTTCTTCTCCAAAGCTGCTATGGGACACCTTTGCTCTGCACTGCTTCTTTGAGTACAGCAAATCCATTTCTGCCTAAGGAATCTCTGAAGGATTGGATGGCTGGCTATCATTATACAGGGCTTCTTCCAGCTCTGTAACTGTGTCAGCCTGCTGGGACAGTCCTCATGGCCTGAACCCTAAAATCACAGATCGTCTAGTTCAAGAGTATTCACCAGGATGTCATCCTCAGTCTTTTCTGGCCAAGAGTTGCCTAAGGTCTTCTTCTGAACTTTAGAAAAGGAAAGTCCAAACCTTCTTGTGTTGTTCCAAGACTCATCTCTCTCTCTAAAATTAGGAAGCTTTTTCTACTGTTTATCCTAGACATTTTTTTCAGAAAGTTAACCTGATTTTTCTTGCCTTGTTTTCAGTGGGCATGGGGAATATTTGGGTTTCCACTGTCTCCAGAGGAATCTTCACTGTGGAAGGTGGTTTTTTTCTGCCTGTTCTCCCTACTCTTTTTCTTAGACCAAGTATCCTGCATTCTTTCATCATTTTTTCAAACAGTTTCTGCAAGTGGTCATATGTCACTGAACTGCGAGACAAATACCTTGTGTTTCCAGTTATAGATGAACAAAGGAGGTGAGAAATTGAAATTCAAAGAATTTCTTCAAAAAGAAAGTCAAAGCCATGGAGCAATTTTCTAGAATTTCACAGAAAAACATTTCCAAAAAGAGGTGAACTAGTGAAGAAGCTCCCATGTGGTGGTGGGAGAAGAGCCCCTCCATGTAACCTGCAAGAGGCATAGCTGCTGAAGCAGTTGAGCACTGCATGCTGCACCTGTCAGCTATGGAAAAATGTTACTTTGGGACAAAAATAGGATTTGGGTAGTTAAGTCCAGAATATTTCAGAAAACCTGGGGGGATTACTTCTGTACTTCAGTAAACAGTTACTGATGTGTTACTCCATAATTGATCGTTATGTTAGCTTGCACAATGCTAAATGCACATAATTAATGTCACATATTGGCTGATTCCTAACACTTACAGAGATACAATATGGAAATGACATTGGTACAGTAAATTCTGGTAGAGTGTGTGAAGTTGTATGCCCACATATGATTAATAAATATGTTAACACTTAGAACACATTGTAGGCTGCAAAATACCTCGCTTTCTCCTAACACAGCCCCTCTTTGTCCTCCAAAGACCACCTGTAACTTCCCAATAACCTGAAGCTGAGTCACTAAACAGCCCTTTTTAAAAAAGCTACACTTAAATAAAGATCAACCTCATTCTGGAACACTTTTTGCAATGCGAAAATTTAGCAAATTCTGCTAAATCTCTTGGCTGCTTCTAGAATCAACAGCAAAGGGAAATGATTTCATGCATGGTACTACCCAGTGCTCACTTTTAGTCCTGAAACACCTGAAGGGAATGTCTTTAAACCCATGCCATCTGAGGGGTAACTGGTCATTTTTTAGATCACCTATAGGTATTGGAAATGTATTGTGTAAACACACACTCCTAAAGGAATAGGTGCTATCGTAACTTCTTGGTGCATCAAGAAGCTGCTTGTTCCGTGGTGTCAAAATCATTTCTTATCCGGTCTCCAGGTAAATTTTGGGTTATTCAGGGTTTCTGAACACTAATGTTAAAATTGGCATGAGATGAAATTCAGTGAGTCCACAGATTAACAAGTCTATGTAAAACAGCAGCAGCATCTGCAAACTGGGTGTATGAGAGACAAAACCCAACCAACTGCAACAGAGATTATGTGATTAGTTAGCAATTAACATGCTCCTCACTAACTACTTTATTTCCTCTCACTGAATACAGCTAGTGCCTTTAGGTTGTTTCCCTGCTTGTTAATTTGTGGCACATTCCCATGCTGCACTCACTGTATACTGTCTGCTCATATTGCCCCCTGAATTCCCAAATACGAGTCATACTCTTTCCACCACTCTAGCAGTAAGATGGCAATTGCCCAGGAGAAAAGCAAGTCCTGGAACAGAGAAAGGGTAATGGTGAGAGAAGTCTCCATACGAGTGTGAAGTCATTGACGTTAAGAAAAATAAAAAGCCCATTGAACAGCAAGAACAAACCAGCCCACACAACCCCCACACTTCCTCTCAAGGGCGACACTGAGCCAGAGACAAGCTCTGTGTAATGCAGTGCCTGGCTTATTTAGAGTCCCCCCATCCTGGGGGATTAAGGGGATATCTAAATAAATATCTATGTATTTAACAGAGATATCTAAATATCTAAATGCCTCAGTGGGGCTGGAATTTTTGCAAATGGAGTCAAAGAGGAGCGGCTGCATTAAAGGAGAGCGATGTCAGCCTGCACACTGGGGAGAGAGTGGATCAGTGGTGAGCTGGAGACACCAGGTGCTTAATCTATGTTTTGCCTCAAATTTTCTAATCACCTCAGGAGAGCCATTTCCTTGCACACACAGTAAAATTCAAGAAGTAATTTCAGACACATTTGCATCATGCTGTCTCTTACCATGAACGTGAGCTCCAGCATCACATTCAATACTATGAATTGCTTTAGCTCTGAGAACATCGCTGGAAAAGCCTCCATCAGACCTGTACATTACAGGCAAAAGGGCTGGTTCAGGAGTGCTCCATGCTATGGGGAGATGCTGATGTGCCCATTCCATGCTGAGGAAGAAGCCATCCTTAATATCCTGTAGAAACTGGCTTGCCCTGAGTTGCCCTTCAGACTGCTCCATCATGAAGCAACATTGAGTGATGTTCTCACTTCCCTGCAAGGAACTGGCTCACCTCGTCTGTGTGCTGCTTATGGAGAGCTGCATCCAGCAGGGTCTATGGAAATCTCATTCAAATGGATTCATCCAGTACTTCAGCCCATTAGAGGACATACTAATAGTTACAAGGGTGCTTCCTTGCTCGTGCTCCCTTTGTCACGGCAGGGGCTAGAGAGTGCACTGAATCCTCACCACAAAGCCTTAACCACAGGACTGTCTACCTTTGGGTCTATGCAGCTGACAAGGTAATCTGACATGCTTTAAGAGCTTTTTTGGTTTATTTCCCAGGGATGAACAGTAGTTCCATATATGTGCCTTGCTGTAGCCAGCACTTCCCTTCCTGCAGGCTGGTCAGCAAGTCATTGCAAGGAACTTGGAGTGTGACAGGCAGTTCCTAGAAATGCCACTGGAATTTCAAATGTTCTCTTTGGCCCTTTATCACTTCCTAATTTATTGCATCCTTTAAAGAAGCGGAGAGGCCAGCCAAGGTTGATACACATCTTTCATTGAGCAGGAACACCTTAAGAGAAGCCGCATCTCTGCACCGCCACAGAGGAGGATTCTCAGCAACCAGGAGCCTTTTGCTTGCTGCTGAGCTGCTTGGTGGCACAAACATCCCACTTCTACCTTACAGCAGGACCAGCTCTTAAGAGGGTACCAAACCAGTGTGGTAGCAGCAGGACTGGACTTGCCACAGCAAGTGTCTGGCCATGTTCAGTTTTCCATCCTGAAATGTGCTTGGGTCGATCTGTGCCTGAGAATTTGTTTCTTTTACAACTGAGCAGTGGAGGGTCAAGTTAAACAGTTGGTGAGAGCACTAAGACCATGGCTATCAGTGGTGCTAATCCTCTGTTTTAAAATGCTGCATATTTGTGATGTTCATCATTATGGAGATCACTGAGCCACATCCATTTTTTTTCTGCTTCTATAAGCTTTCCCAAGAAATGTGTTTCTGTCTTTGTCTATAAAACACAGAGCCACGGTTTATGCTTCAAGGGCTGTTGGAAGGATACTACCTCCATCAGCAACGAAGGTT